TAAGTAGATAAATACAGTCCTACCTCGTTATAAGATACACTTTTGGATTGAAAAAGTGTTACCTTATAATGGGGTGTTTCTTAAATAGAGGGTATTGCTTAGATAACTCTCCTACCCAACGGCCAACTAAAACTTCTAAAAAGCCTATCTTGAATCGAGGGTTATCCTATTGAAGGTATTTTAACAAAGGACCTCCCTATGAGACAACCCCCAACAAGAGACACACCTCTATTTAAAACACATTCTTTTAAAATTTGGTTGATTGGATCGGGATGGGGATTGGATGGGTTGGGGATCTGGCTGAACAATACTCTCTATTTAAGACACAGCTCATTATAAGGTAACGATGGGGTGGCCAATGCGTTGGGGATCTGGTTGAACAATACTCTCTATTTAAGACACACCTCATTATAAGGTAACGATTCTAGCCCCAAGGGTGTATCATAAAGTGAGGTCTGACTGTATATCAAAAATATTCTCAAATTTATCTTATTTAGAATATTTCTCTAAGCATGTATTCCTTATCAATCAAATTTGTATCAAATTTGCATAAAAAAATTTAAATTATTTTATATTTAGGCTTATCTTATAATCTTCATCTATTTATTAAATGAATTATTTAACTGAAAAAAGACTGAAGAGAACATGTTCGTTTCGAATAGGGATGTCACTTATTATCCGAACCTCGAAACCCAGAAACCAACCTTAGGACACAACTCTAGGATATGAACCCAACCTTATGAGAATCAACCTTAAGAACCCGACCTTAGGAACAAGACCCTAAGATATCCGAACCATGATACTTTGCCCTTACTCCCTCAAATGCCCCAAAACCCGACCTTCCTTTCTTCCACCCGTTACATCACTGGTTTGGACTAAACAGGATTAAAAGAACATAGTCCTGTCGGAGTAAGTTGTAGGAACGAGATGTATTTGATATAGTAGATTTGACTTGGAGGGGCCTTACGATAATAGAGATTTAGCGATAATAGAGAATTATCAATCTGGATAACCGTCTCGGCCCGGTCTTTAGTATTTACCTAGATAGTCTTTAGCCTTTAACCGATTTTGGCCTTTCGCCGAATTTTTCTTTCTAAATCAGTTTACATACATCCCATTTACATTACTAATAAACAGGCTGGAGAGAACATGAAAAGGGTGGAGAGGACATGGAATTCACCCCCAAAATCACGTGATTTTTGATTCAAACTATGAAAAAATTTAATTTTAGCTTGTAAAAGAAAATATTCCAAAAATAAAATTCGCTTTTTAATGTACGTGTATGTACAAGTAAATTCAACGTGGATGGGTGGATTGATTGCGTTTATCTAGGCGCTTTAAAATTTTGGCGCTTCTCAACCTGGAACTTTTTTCTAAATCAGTGAACTTTTTAGGCTGACTTCGCTATTAGATACACCCTATACAAGACACTTAATTTTAATATAAGCAGCGCTTAAGCATTACCCTCTTTCTAAGCTACCCCTCATTATAAGGCACCTTGGGATGTCTCAAAGTGAGGCTTGATTAAAGCTTAGGTAGCCAGATGTGGTCCGGTAGCCAATTTTCTATGGCCAAATTTGGGTGACCACTGACTCTCTCAACACCCACAAACCCTGAACTGCAAGTGCGTACCCAACACTAAAATATATATATCTCTCTAATATACCCTACATTACAAGCTACGATTAGTTCAACCCCAAGGATCTATATAATACTGAAGAGGGGTCTATAAATTTCAAAAGCCCAGCGCCTAAACAACCCTCCTCCTACGTGGAAAGCCAAAAATTTAAATTCTTGGGTTGCTGGTATGAAATAAAATATTATAGAAAATTTAGAGAATTTATTTATTGGCAAACAGGTGTAATTATAATTTAAATAAAATTTTAAAAATTAAAAAAAATTTTTTTAAATTTTTTAATTTATTTTTAAGTAAATTTTACTCTCTAATTTAATTCATTTAATTTTAAAAAATATTTTTTCCCTAAATTTCAAAAAAATGAAGCTTCATTTAATTTTTCCATTATTTTTTATTCCAATTTTTAATTCTTTTTGTAACGGAAAAATAGCCACAACGGAGGTATTGACACTCAACAATCAGTTATATGTCAAGATATCTGTGGGGAATCCTGGTAGGGTTTTTAAATAGTTATTAGTGTAAAGGAGGATGATCTAGCTGGCTAAAATCTAAAAAGTTTACTAGTGTAAGGGCTTCATGTAGGTCCCCAATGCTTCGATATCTCGACTTTCTCGTACGTCGTAACAAGCATAATACGAATTCTGGTACGAAGATTGGCTAGTTAATGAGCAAAAAACCTAAGTTTCTACAAAGTATCAAGTATGTATAGATGTAGACGGAGGCGAAATTCTGCTGATATAGATGAAGGAGATCAAAGACTACCCTGGCATGTACGATCCAATTAGGCTGACACAGACACTTGCCTTTATACTAAAGACGTCCAAGACTCTTGGTATTGAGTCTTGATTCAATACTTTGGGGTTTTCCGGACTTTATCTTGAGTTTTCTGGGTCAAGTCTTGCTGAGGACCTCAGCAAGACCGAAGGATCTCCCAGTCTTGCTGAGGACCTCAGCAAAACCGAAGGACCTCCCAGTCTTGCTGAGGACCTCAGCAAAACCGAAGGACCTCCCAGTCTTGCTGAGGACCTCAGCAAAACCGAAGGACCTCCCAGTCTTGCTGAGGACCTCAGCAAAACCGAAGGACCTCCCAGTCTTGCTGAGGACCTTCGGCCTTGCTGAGGACCAGTCTTCGGTCTTTTGAGTTCTGGAAAATTTTCGAACTAGGACACCCCCCGTTTTATACTATCATGGTCGGCCACTTATCCACAACACTACGCAGGGGATGAACATATTTGTAAATTTAAAAAAATACTTTTTATAGGAGTTGATTATAATTTGCGCTTGCAATTCTCTTCTGCTATTTTATGGTTTAAGCCTAAAAGGTTTAATCAAAGATCACCATCATCCAAAAGAGGCAATTCAGTCAATAAAGAAGGGATTAGTGGAACTAGTGTATCTGACACGATAAAAGTAAATAAAAATTTTTCTAATAAAATACAGGCAGGCGAGGGTTGACAAATCAGGATCCAAATAAGTGTATATTCGAGGATTCTCTCAGAACTCCGATATTTGGAACAGAACGGAGAGATTTTCCTAAGCGATGCCTCCATCTAGTCTTAGGGGGGGTCTTCTTGGGGTCAGGCAAGGGTTGGCTCTTCTTGGAGACCAGTTCATATCCGATCCGAATAAGTGTATATCCGAAGAGACCTCAGAACTACGATATTCGAAACAGAACGAAGAGATTTTCCTAAGCGATACTTCCATCTAGTTTTAGGGGGGGGGGTCTTCTTGGGGGCAGGCAAGGGTTGGCTCTTCTTAGGGACCAGTCTTGGTTTAGAATTTCACTCTTTTCAACCTAAATCTTCTTGAAAATGTCTGTATTCCCAGGTCTGATTTGAACATTATTTTTTAGATTGGAGACGTTTCTTTCCACAATGTGCCTCTAATTGAAGCTAAATCAGGCATTCCAAAAATGGACAAATCTATTTCTGGTTCTTTTGGGTTGTCTCCAGAAAATAATGATCATTTAACTTCAATATTAAGTCAACTTGACAAACAAATAGTTACAATGAAAATAGCGGGGTTAATGTTTTATAAATGGCAATATACTGTAGATAGGGGGTTTTATTGAAGACAGCCTATATTTTAGGGGTACCAATTAGGCGCGGCCAAGTAGGCGCAAAGCCATAACTTGCTTCAAAATTTACGAATCTGTCAAAATTTAGTATTAAACGATTCCTCTCATCGAGCTAAAGAGATTGATAGAACTTTTCCAGCTAGTTATGGCTTTGCGCCTACTTGGGCGCGCGACTACTTGGCCGCGCGCCTACTTGGGCACGTCCCTATTTTTTAGACTATTTTTTGTTATCCTTCTCTTTGCAACCTAATTTTTTTCTTGAATATGCCTGTAAAAAAGTGCAAAATTTGCAAAAAAAAAAAATTAATCTCCAAAAATAGTCCGCAAAACTAGTCCGCAAAAACTAGTCCGCAAAACTAGTCCGCAAAACTAGTCCGCAAAAATAGTCCGCAAAACTATCCGCAAAAATCCGCAGTTCAAAATCTACAGTAATGCCTCAAAATAAATAAATAAATTCTCAACTATTTATATTTAAAGAGGTATTTCTGGAGGAGGTGGTATAATTTCAGCTGGAATTGGTTCATTAACTCTTGGTGGAGAAGATTCGGGTTGTAGTAATTATAAATATGTAAAAGCTTCTTGTGGTTGGTCTACAGCCTTGCAGTCTGTAAAAGTTGGAACCTCTTCTTCATCTATAATGTGTGTAAATTTAAAAAATAATTCCTCAGAGTTGGGTAAACTACCCTAATGCTCTAATAGTTTCCCTGGGTCTTAGTATCGTCAATGCAATGTTTCGCTAGAGGAAGTATTGTTGGTAGAGGGTTTTTTCAGAGATTTTTTCAGCCCCTTCCAGAGGGGGGGGGGCTGAAAGGGGGGGGCTGCCTATACAGTAACCAAAGTAATCTAACTAAACTCCACATATAAATGTATACACAACTGCAATTTTTCTAACCCATTATACCTCTCTTTAAGAGAGATCTAGATTTTAGAGATAAAGATTTTTTAAAAGCCTGGACCTGTTCCTGGACTCTGTGTTTGATTTCTTGACCTGGGCTGGATACTGGGCCTGTAGTCCAGGAAAAACCCAGGCCCAGGAAAAACCCAGGAAGGTCAAAAAATGTCTGGACCTAAACTCTGGGTACAAGAAAGACCCTAGCCTTTGTCCAGTTCCAGCTCGATCTCTGTTTATACAAGTTGGTAGACCATTAAGATACCGATCATTATAAGGCACGATTTTCATCCCCGAGGTTGTAACTTATACTGAGATAGATCATATACCAAGGTCTGACTCTAATAATAATTTAATAATTAAGAGTTGGATCACTTGATAATCTCCCAAAGATAAAAATGAGTGATTCTCTTCCAAATATGTATGGACCTAAAGAACAGATTGATGCTTTAGCAAAGGGATTGGGTGTACCAATCCCTTCAAATGTCAAAAACCGTTATGTTTTCCCTTGTAAGAAGAATATGCCTGATATTACATTAACTGTAGGCGTATTGGGTGGAACAACTGCAAATGTTATTCTGAAGCCAGACCAGTATATTGAAAAAACATTCAATGATACTGGAGAGGTATGTCTCTTTTCTATGTTTGAATTAAAAGAGGTATCTCTGAAGTTTGGAGGCGAGAATGTTGAATATTTGTGCTTTCAAGGAAGCGGAACTGGTTCCTGGAAATTGTCATCCTCTATTGACAATGGATTAGAGGATGACAATGGATTTAGAGAATGGATTAGAGAATCGATGGATTTGTTGGGATTATTAGGGAGTAAGCGGATTTAGAGGAGATATCGAGAGATCTGGGATTATTAAGTTGTCAAATATATCATTTCAACGATGTAGAGAGTATGGATTAAGAAAGATACCGGGGATTTGTAAGGAAAAGGGATACTTGGTAAAGAAGAGGAAGAGGAAGAGGGATACATGGTAAAACCTCTTAGAGGTGACAATGGATTAGAGGACAGTGGATTAGAGACCTTAAAATCCATTTATGACACGCCAAATAATGATTATTTTTAACAAAATATTAATCTAGAAAAATGTATCGAGAACGTAGCTGGTGGGAAGGATGTGTAAATATTTTAATAAAAAAATTCTCAGAAAAATCTAAAACATTTTTTCGATTTTAGCAAGTTAAAACCACGTGTCAATTGTATTTTATGCCTAATGAAGCATTGCCAAACTCTAATGATAAGGATTGGACTATGGGTCAAGCGTTTATGTTTGATCGTTGTATTTCGGTTAACTTGAAGGATGAGACGATTGGATTTGCTGAGAAAAATTAAATTGAAAAATGGGGGAATTAAATTTAAAGAAACTATTAAATGGGACAATAAATTAATTTAATTAATTAATATTAAGTAAATTACCGTATGTTTTAGATTAATTCCCCTGGGGAATTATTTTTCAACCCATCCATGGTATGGGGAACTATTAAGGCAGGTGAATTAAGTTGTGAAATTTGAACGTGCAGTAGGGTATTTGGGGAGGGGGAATTATTGTTTCAACGTATCTTTGGCAGGGGGAATTAATCGAGAGGATACGGTAACTCAGAATAATTTAAAAAACTTCAGAATTAAATTTAAAAATTTTTGCTAAATTTAAATCATCTTTTTATCTACTAAATATTTAAATAAACTACCAGACAATAAAAATTGTTTTTGAATAAAATACATTCGAGTATGGTAGCACCCCATAACACCCCGAAACATGAACCTCAACATGTCCCCTCCCCTACAAACCCCGATCTCCGACACTCACGACCTCGAAGTTTCGAGTGCTACCCTTGTTTAAGGAATCGTAGGCTATTGGGTCAGCTGTTTATGTACAGGTTTTTTGTTGTAAAAACCAAAGAAATCTGACTTGATCGGACAAATTATGGCCATTTGTATCATGCAAAAAGCTCAAAATGGTCAGTGTAACGGGGAAGGGCGGGCGTAACTCAAGTACTAAACCCTGGTCAAGATTCTGCCCGGAAAACACATTACCTCTGATCCGGACACTTAGACATCGGACAATTAAATATATACATTTCTACCTCTCTATAAGATTAGAGTTCAGCGGTATCGGGATTTGGAGAAAAACCCGGGATCGGGATTTAGGAATGGTGATCCCGATCCCGATCCCGGATCCCGACACGGGATCGGGATTAGCCGAAATCGGGATCGGGATTTGGACTGGAGATCCCGATCCCGGTCCCGATCCCGAATCGGGACCGGGATTAGAAAATCGGGATCGGGATTTACTAAAAAAATTTTTTTTAATTTTTAAATTTTTATTTTCTTCTCATAGACGCATAATTTACTTTACGGTTCAGGGGATTAAGGGGTCATAAGGTAATGGGGGGAATAAATGGGATTGGGCTTCTTCTAGTCTAAGCGCCGTAGGCAAAAATTTTGAAAAAGTTGGAAGGCCAAAGTGCCAGATTTCCCCCCTTTTAAGCGCCGCAGGCCATATTTTTAATTTTGGAAGGCCAAGGGGGATTTTGGCAGGCCAATGGGGGGGGGGGGGGGGTTACGTTCAAATGTGGACGATTAATAACTGAGATTGAGGGACTAAGTGATATACCGTATTTCGAATAATAGCCCCCACCCTTTGTTAGAGCCCCACCCTCTAATACAGCCCCACTTTGGAGGAAAGTTGAAAAATAGAGCCCCACCCTCAATTAGAGCCCCACCCCTAATGCAGTCCACCTAAAAATATTGGAGGAAAAATATATCCCAATAATTTTTTAGATGTATTAAGAGAGTTGAGGAAATAAAGTGGATATCGATGATATTGTGATCATGGAGGAGGAGGGATCATGGGAATATAGGGATGAAAAAGACATTTTTGCGGCGCCGCAGGCAAAAATTTTGAGAATTTTGGATGTCAAGATGCCAAATTTCTTCCATTTTCTGCGCCACAGGCGAAAATTTTTCTTACTTTCATGCCTCCCCTCTTCTGTTAACTTTATTTCACAGACTTCTAGTCAATTTATAAAGTCGGGATTTGCATCGGGATCTGATGCACATCCCGATCCCGATCCCGGATCCCGGCTCGGGATTGAAATTGGCCGGGATCGGGATCGGGATATTTATTTCGGGACCGGAATCAGAAAAATCGGGATCGGGATTCGAAAAACCCGGGATAATCCCGCCCGATCCCGACCGGGATCCCGATCCCGCTGAACTCTATATAAGATACACCCATTAATAGATACCCTCGATTGGAGATACATTTAAATAAAGATGCCCTCAATCGGAATATTCCTCTCTATAATATTCAATATTTTTCAACAGGTTGTATCTTATAATGGGACCGGTTGTCTAATTAATTTGAAAAAATATATAAAGAAAATCTTAAAATAATCGAAATTCTCATCATTCAAAGCTTCATATTTACACCTCCATTCTTTTAAACAAAAATTTTTTTAGTTTTTTCCTCCATTCGTTTTGTTGAACATAAGATGACATAAACGCTTCTCATCAACATTACAAGTTGCATTGGATTCTGCCAAGACTTCAGTTCCTCCATCCTTCCCAATAGGACATAAAAGTTGGAATGGACCCTTCTTCATTTGTTTATGAAATGCTTTAGAATGGACTCTATATGCTGCAGAGAATTTACAATTGTACAGTGGTGGTCCAGTCGAGTTTGAACTTGTGTCTACCACGCAATTTGGAAGAGAATAAATACCAAGATCGGGATCTAGAAAATATAGCATATTAAACTATCTAGTCAGCCATAGACAAAGTATAAAGAAGAAAACAGCAACTTCGCGCCTACAGATCAGGGTTTTACTCAGTCCCCAAAAGTGGGAAATTTGAGACTTTATTTGAAAATTTCCGTAAACTGTTCCCCATCCCCCCCCCTCTCCCCGTCATGAAAGGAAAAAATTTTCCCGCCCCCCCCCCCCGCCTCGTGGCGCTGCCTTCCAGAGAATCTCTCCCCCCGTCGAGGAAGAACGCTACTAGTCCTCCGCTTTCAAATTTGAAGAGAACGGAGTCAGGATCTAAGAATAACAAGTACAACCCAATTGCGCATAAAGGTATTTTAGCCAGTGGATTATCCATATATCACATAGAAATGTGGTCCAATTACAATTTTATAACTTACAAAGTCGACATCCCATTTGAGTTCCAGGACTCATTGCTGTAAATGCAAGCATCATTGTCAAAACAACAGTCACAGTATGTTTTGTACAACAGCAACCACAATCATCATTACTGCTCGGAGTACTATCTCCAACATAATACCCACCGTACGGGTAATATACTGGGTAATAGTATGGTCCGTATCTTCCATAATAAGGCGTTCCATAATATCCACGAGTTGCTCCTATAGTGTTTCCATATCCAGGGCCTTCATATCTACCTCCATAGCCTCCTTTTCCACCATAGCCTCCCTTTCCACCACTAAAACCTCTACTACCACTGCCGCTTCCACCTCGTCCTCCACCGCCACCACCATGTCCTCCACCACCACCACCACCATGACCTCCACCACTATTTTAAAATTTTGAGGGTTAATTAGAGCAAATTTTAAAAACAGTCAGATCTTGCTCATGCGTAAGCCTTGGACCGTCATACAAATCAAATGCATAAATAAGAAGAAACCCGAGCGAGATACATAAGCGAGATGACAGTATATTAAAAATATTTACCCTCCTCCTCCTTTCAGACTTCTCCCTCGAATTTTTCTGTTCGTTTCTAAACTGTTCGTTTCTAGCTCGTTTACCTCATCTGTTAAAATTAATTTTATACATAACTATACATTTTATTTAAAGTCGGACCTCACTATTATTTACCCTTTGTGGTTAGAAAACCGTATCGAATAATGAGGGTCTTAGTCACTCACCCATGGTATCAGTCACTCACAGAGGGTATTAGTGTATACCTGCTAATCAGTATATCTGCCGACTAAAAATAATGGAAATTGTATAGGTTCCAGACTCCCAGACTCCAGTATGGTCGATTTATATGCCATTCGAAGGGGCTCTCTAAGCTGTGTCGAACAATGCCAAAAACTACGGCTGAGAAATCCGATTATACAAAAAATAGCTCATTGGGAAGAGCTCGGTTTTAAGTGTTGTTATCCCAGATCCGATTCTACGTCTACCAAGGATCGCGCCGATAGAAAACCAAATTCCCGATCTTAGTGAACCACGAATTCTCGAGCCAAAAATCGTCGGGAATTCATCATTTTAGGGAATCGTGAATCGGGTCGGTGCGATCCTTGATGTCTACCTTCTTCCTCATCACAAATTTCATTACATTCTTCATCATCCTCTTCCAACAAAATTTCCTTCCCTTTGCTTTTCCTTTCATTTTCTTTTTCAAAAACTTTTTTCTCCTCATCTTCATTTAATCCAGACAATACAGAATATTTATTGTTTGGATCAGTAAATGCTTGCTTAACTTTTCTACTTTTATTTTTCTTTTTCTTCTTTTTTCCTCCTTCGGCAACCACTTTATTTTCATCTTTTTGTCCATAAATTGGCATTTCTTGTAATTTCAATTCTCCAGTGTTTTTATAAGATTCCGCAGAGATAGGAACTGATGCATGTGGAACAGATCCAAGAGTATTTGCCAACGGATTTATTGCCTCAACTTAAGAGTATTTTAAATTTAAAAGCCAAAAGAAAGCATTGAGGAGGAAAGGGACGGGATTTAGAGTAGTCCCCCCTCCAAACCCTCCCCCCCCTCCAAACCCCCCTCCCCCTCCTCCAACCCCCCCCCCCCTCCAAACCCCCCTCCAACCCCCCCCCCTCCAAACCCCCCCCCCCCTCTCCTCCAACCCCCCTCCAAACCCCCCCCCCTCCTCCAACCCCCCCCCCTCCTCCAACCCCCCCCCCTCCTCCAAAAAAGCTCTTGAATTAAATTGAGATTAAACTAACCTATAAATAAGCTTAATATTGGCAATATAAAAACAATGATGTTTTTGTTTTTATGCTTCATTTTTGAAGGTCAACAAAAAGTTTTCTTGTTTAAATTTTCCTTTGTTAAATTTCTAAAATTAAATAAAGCAGTTGGTAGCTATTTCTCTCCTTTAGCTAGTGCAAAAGGTTATTCAGCGGCTGGAGCGAACCAGCATCTTCAGTAGACTTGACTGATATATTATCCATTACACCGCGCCCCCTACAGCACAGCCTTAGGAAATAAATAGCTATATGCTTTACAATACTAATAACCCCCGAATTCTAACTATTCACCCAACAATTTAAATTTTGAAATTAAAAAAAATTTTAATGAAGAGAATAGATTACCTTTCAACTATTTGACTATCACTTAAATAAAGGCCCTACGCAGGCGTGTAGTCCCGCTCTATAGTCTCTCTCTATTATTGACTCCCTTATTATGATAGCTTTCATAAAGATAGCTTTGCGTCATGCGACAGAAGATCACGTGCGACCTTTTCTCTCCCGCTTTCCCATTACCCTTTATGTCGTTAGACACAAGACGCACATATTTAAAAGCCGACACACATAGGCACTTCATATAAAGTGCAGATAAAATTAAGAAATCCTATTGAGAATAGCTAATTAAAGTGCATCACATAAAGGGCACTTCAAAGAGAAAAATTACTCAATAATTTTGAAATATTTTGTCATAAGGGCCTGTTTATTTTACAAAAAGAGCTGTTACGAAATGATGTCTTTTATCTATAAAGGAGGAATTCTGGCTTCTTGGCCATCTGAAATTCAAAAAACATTGGACATTTCTTGGATATTTCGTATGAAGCCTTGACTAGTAGTCGGCGCGGGACGGGATCCCGCGCGGGATTTTGCGGGATACCGCTCCCGCAATCCCCCACTTTTTTCGATTTGCGGGATTTTACGGGAGTGCGGAATTTTGCCGGGTTATTCCCGCGGGAGTTACTCCCGCAGACAATTTTAAAAGTTACTCCCGCATGCGGGATCCCGCAAATACGATTTTGCCGGTCACTAGTCTTGACCCAAGTTGATGTTTTTTGCAGACTGGTGCATGGATACGGATTTTGCTATCCGTATCCGGATATATCCGTGAGGTCAATATCCGTATCCGTTTGTATCCGTCCAACTTTTTAGGCATATCCATCCGCGGATATCCGCGGATATATCCGTTTTTTCTCAAAATGGTCAGACTGGCTAAAATTTTCAAAATGGTCAAATTTATTTTAATTCGAGTAATGGGTAGATAATGCTGTAATAACTGCATGCAACAAAACGAACCTTGCTTATGAACATCGGAGGTTCGAAAATAGGAAGGCAGAGTTCGGAACTTAGACCCAACGCTGCATAAGGGATCATACCGACAAAAAATAAAATTTTGAAAATTTTTGGGAATTTTTGAAAATTTAAATTCCCGATTTCGGGCCGAAATGAAAATTCTGATAACTGACCAGTTGATTTCAGCGCCGCAGGCGAAAATTTTGAGAATTTTGGAAGACCATGCAGCAAAAAATCTTTCATTTTTAGCGCCGCAGGCGAAAATTTTGATAATTTTAGAAGGCCATAGGCCAAAAAATTCACTTTTTTGCCCAATCTCCTCATCAAATTTATCAGTATTCCCCATTTCGAGAGGGGGGTGGGGAATTCCCCCTCCCTCCCTCCCTCCCTCCCTGGTTATGAGCCTGGTATAAGTTTTTGGACCTCCAAAATTCAGGAATTTTTGTTTGATCAGCTAAAAGTGAATTTTTTGGCTTATGGCCTTATAAAATTCTCTAAATTTTCGCCTGCGGCGATGGAAAGGAATGAAATCTGGTTTCTTGGCTTTTAAAATTCTAAAAAAAATTTTGCACTGAGTAGGGCTCCCCGAGCCTTCGGGTTCGGGATCGTTGGGGATCAGCGTTTGCCGGTCAGGGCATGTCGTGTCCGGGGTCTTGGTTGACTTTTGGGTCGGGGTTAGGGGTCATGTGCGAGAATCAATTATCTCCTGGCGTTGGGAATATAATTATTTTCTCTTGGCAAAATGTATTTTTATAATTTAATCATGGATGTTTAATCGGTGGCACGACAATTGTACAGTGGGACAATTGTACAGTGAGACAATTGTACAGCGGACGATTGTACAGTGGACAATTGTACAGTATTCAGAGCTTTTTAAAAAGAAATTTAATTTTGCTCTAATAAGTAAGAAATATGACCCAATGTATCGAAAACCATATAATCAACACTAAATTTTTTAAATTGTATTATACAACATGGGGAGGTTGTTCAATGACGGGGAAGCTTATTTTGATCAAATTTTTCAATTAATCAACCGAGAGAGTGATCGATTGATCAATTAATCTCTAAGGGGAGTATTAATTTATCACTAAGGTGATTGATATCGGTGTCGTTTATCGCTCTCGTTTGATCACTCTTCAGTAGATCATCACTTGGTTTTCGATTCGATATTTCTCAACTTTATCCGATTTTCACTTTCCAGGTTGATCACCCCACTGATTTATCACCCTTGGTTGATTACGTTGATCACTCACTCGATTGATCACCGACTTCGCTTATCAATTCAACGAATTGAAGTTCGTTCCGTCATTGGAACAACCTCCCCATATTGTATATAATAAAATTAAAAATTTATTGTTGATAATATGTTTTCGATACTTTGGGTTAACATAAAATTTTTTTAAAAAGCTCTTAATACTGTACAATTGTCCAGTGTACAATTGTCTTCTGTACAATTGTCTCACTGTACAATTGTCCCACTGTACAATTGTCATGGAGCCGTTTAATCACAGAAATTAAGGAAAATTAGGGACGGATATCCGCGGATTTGGAGCATCATATCCGTATCCATCCGTATCCGTCCGATTTTTAAAAAAACACTATCCATATCCGTCCGTATCCGCGGATATCCGCGGGTATCCGGATATTATCCGTATCCATGCACCAGTCTGGTTTTTTGCATTTTTCTAAAATAAAAATTTTAATTAAAAGTACCTTTAAAATTTAAATTTCTTAAATTACGCGAACTCTTACGGTACAATTTTGTGCCAGCTCGCTCTCAAACGGCTTCTCTCTACTGCCCCTTTCTAGTTTCAGCACTCTAGTGGCCGTTCGGGATTTTTAGAAATCCTTTAAATTTTCGAAAACTTTTAATAGAGATCGACAAAACCGCATTCACGGGATCCCGTAACGGGATTCTTTTTTAACATGCCGTGCGGGAAGAATCCCGCGGGATTAATCCCGTAAATCCCGTTGTCGCTTAAACTACGGGATTTTTGGACAGGGTTCCGTAAATACCGCATGGGGTTCTGTCTGTGCCGATTTCTGATTTTTACGATCCGGGATTGAGATTTACTTAAGGTATGTCGGTTAGACCCCGGTAAGACTATCGATACTAGAGGTCGGCAAAATCGCGTTTGCTGGATCCCGCTGAATAAAATTTTTAAAAAAATCTTTGCGGTACGGGATCCCGCGGGATAAATCCCGCAAAATCCCGGAAATCGAAAAAAGTGCGGGATTGCGGGAGCGGTATCCCACAAAATCCCGCGCGGGATCCCGTCCCGCGCCGACCTCTAATCGATACAGATAAATCCCCTCAAAAGTGCTCTAAACAGTTTTCGTTCCTTTTAATTCTCTTTCTTTTTAGCTCTTAGAAATTCCAAAATGGAACAAGCCCAAAGTTTGTTATTAAATGAGCTTGCATTTGTCAGATGTCCAGATCCACAAAAAAATATATTTATTTATGAATGGCTGAAATATTTGG